CCCTCCCTACTTGTGGAGAAATAGGCTAAACGAAAACGCTAACATGGGGGTGCCATCTCTCCGACTCTTACGGAAGTAAGGCCTGGTTTCAGAGGTCGTTCGTTCGGTCCTGCTGTGCGTATGTGGGTACCATTGTAGAAGCAGAGTGAGACAGCTCGAAACATGTAATTGCGTGAGCGATATGCTTTCCCAAACTGCATATGGTGGCGGATGTGCCGTGCAGCGAAGGAATAGGAATGCAGCAGACATCAGTTCTTCCCCACCCTATTGCACTCGCTGCTCCAGCATGCTGGTGGTGTTTTCTCCTCCTGCCTTTATGCTGTGTATCGCAGCAGGGATCACGCAATCAGAAGTGTAGGTGGTGGGGGGGGCGTACTCTTATGTTTTGCATGCCTTAGCGGTTAGACCATTGACCGCGCGTCCTCGGAGCATTGTTCCCACAGGACCGATCACCGATGGCCAATCGTTCCTTCCTACTTTGCCAAAGGTGGTGGTTGGGGGGCGTTCTATAAAGCCCAACGATGTGTGTGGCACTTATGTAAGGGCGCGGCGGAGATGCGGGCGGATCTCCTCTTCAAAATAGACGAAAATCGCCGCTGCATATCTTGGTTTTGCAATTCTACTCCAGTGTCAATCTACCATCGCACCCAGACCGCCCACAAATGTCGCGAGTGTGCAATATATGCATATAGCTAGTAGGCTGATAGCGCTTGTGATACACCACTACAGATTTTGGCGGTCCGCGATTTCCAAAGTGGCCAAAGCAGAATTTTGTATGAAGCCGGCTTCTAGAAAGGTTTTAAACAATCTCTGGGAACTTTCGCACACGAGCACCTGGTATCAAGTGGCACGTTGTTCATCGCTTTCTTTTGGGTGATCAAGTGCCGACACGACAAACAGGAGGCAAGAGAGAGCACGTTTGGAGCGCCACCCGTCCGCCCTCACCGCGCATTTTATGTTTATTAATCCAAGCAATCGGTCGAGATAAGAAATAGTCGGTGATTGTGTTCGAGAAGCACGCACACTCATCGAAACTTCCTTTTCACGACGGGTGCACCAGCCTAGCTGTCACCACTGCTGCCTTCTCCCTATAGAAGCCGAAATCAAACCATTAGACTAGTCAGCTGTCTCTGACTAGTCTAATGGTTTGATTTCGGCTTCTATATCCCACACTCATATGGAAAAGGATATCCAGTCGCTGTCCGATTTTCAAACGCCTTAAGCACTTCTGGTTGAGGTTAGACCCACGTATACATGATACCCAGGCCTTCAATTTGACTACGGCGACGACTACATATGTAGGATGCGCGACTCAAGTCGGCGGTCACACGCACTGACGTAGGCGCTGGTTCGTCGCCAACGTGTGCTTGAAGCGTTCGAAAATCGGACCCAGAGGGGCATCCAAAATCTTGCTTGTAGCACACCGAACTCGATGATAGAAGGATCGCTCCGAAAGGTCGCTGATGGCGAATCTGTACCATGGTGGTGTATCACAAGGACTACAATCCTAGCTACTTTCAATAGCTACTTTCAAGGGGTGCTTCGCCCTCCCCCCCTGTGGGGGCCGGTCTCGTGTACTACCCGTAGGCAAAGAAATGGAAGGAAATGTTTGAAGGTACTACTGTGCAGTTGTTGAGAAGATCGGCAACTGGTGTGAGTAGATCGAGGATCGGATAGATACTAATATTTTGCTGTATGTAGGTTCGAATGTTCGCATGGTTTGGAAAAAAGTGCGTCATATCTTAGTCATGGTGCGGGAAGATGTTGCACAGGGCTCATCCCGGGGCACACATGCACACGAGATGGTGATTCTGCGTGCGTGTGTGCCAAAAGTGCCTGTTCTGTGTGTTAGTCTGGCTGATGCTATGGCCGTGTAGGACTACAGCAATGCAGCAGCAGCAACATTAGAAGACGACCTCGGAATCTAGCAAGCTGCGTTTGTTTGTTTGTTTCTCTTCCCATTTTCAGGAAGAGACGTTTTCCCGCTTGGCTCAACAGCAGCAGCAGTGTTTCAGCAGTAGTCCACAACTCTCCGTGCATGGCTTAAAGTGCCCGTGTACCATCTCGTAAGTCATGTACAAAAGGTAGACGTACACCATGAGTACTTGTGTGTTTGCTGTGGTACAGATCACACACACGTTCAGTTGAAGTTCGTTCCCAGAAGCACCGGCGCGACAGAAAGAGAGAACGTGCTTCGTACCTACTTGGGGGACGAAAGTGCCCGTGTCCGTGCGGGTAGCTGTCGTGCTGCAGGGCGGGCTACGCGCGCGGGGCGCGCTGTGGGTACATCATTCCCGTCCGGGAGCCGCAGGAACGAAAGAAAGACTGAGAGTTGTGAGCGGTATAGAGACTGCTGACAGCAGTTGTGAGCGAGGTAGAGACATACGCTGCCAATATGCTATATTGTGACTTGCTGTGCCTCCGTTATTCGTCATTTAGACTAAATATGACAATAGCTGATTCTGACGTCATACAAGCCGGCAGACACAACCACAGAGAACCAAAAAAGCTTGATTTCCAGAAAAAAATGCCGGCGGTCCAGCGCCTGCAGCTCTTGCCACAGCGCACCGCGTGGCGCGACACGCTCGGGACGTGCTGAGTACGTTCTTTCCGTCCGGGAGCCGAGAGCGACAGAAATCGGTTTCAACGGCGACCCCGACAAAAAACGGATGCACCAGAGAGCAGCACGCGTGAACCGCCAAAAGGAAATCCTACAGATGGATATTCTAACATTGCACACTCGCGACCTCTGCGGACGGTCCGGGCGCTATGGTAGATTCGGACTGCAGGTAGACTTTGGAAACCGAAGACATGCAGTCGTTTTCCTAAAAAAAATTAGGGGGAGAGCTACCAACTCCACCGCTACCTCAAGGGGTTCTTGCCAAATCGATTTTGACTGATGGTTTCGAAGACGACCCAGGTTAAACACCCAGCAACCAATCACGATACACAAAGTCGGGGAGGGTCGCACAGTTGGGACTCGTCTCCAACAGCATACTGTGTCACTAGGACAAAACTCTCCACCCCCCTACAATGAAGACAATCAGGCGACACGGCAGGTGCTCCGATAAGTTCATTGCGTTGCGGAGTCCCGACCTTGGCACCTATTCCAGCAGAGGACATCATCGGGCAGTGACGCGCGCGTTGACACGCCCAGATCTTGTTGCTGGGGCCGTGCTGTTGAAGGCTGCAGCTGCCGTCCGAAAAGTCCGCAAGTCTGGGTCCATACCATTCATGATCCACGGCTGTACGCGCCGTCACAGGCCAATCAATCCCCCGAACTGCTGGCCATCCAAGGAAAGCTAGTCGTGCGAGCTACCGCTGTAGATTACTGCTTCTGTAGACCAGCGGTTGTGGGGTTGGGTCTGCGTCGGCGCATCCAGCAATGCATGGTTGCTTGTGTGGACCCAGACCTGCCAACTTCACGGACCGCAGCTTCAGCCTTCGACAGCACGGCCGGCCCCGACAACAGATCTGGGCGTGCCAACGCGCATGCCGCTACCCCATGATGTCCCGTCTACTGGTACAGAGGAGCAACGTCGGGACTCCGCAAGCCGGAAGGTTGCTTTTCGATTTTTTGGCTACCAAATGGTCTTGGGTTTATAGCGTAAATAGAAACTTTTGTGTTGAACAGTGGCCTGAGGTCCCAAACGAGGTTGCGCCTGAAGAGCATGAGACCTACCGTCCGGATGTCGTGTTTCTTATGATTCACGCTCGGCTCTTAGCCCTGCTGTATCCCACTATGGGTGCGGTCTTCGAACCTGTTGGTGTGTCGTACTCTTTGAATGCGGGGAGTTTCTGACAGTCCCGTGCAGTCAACGAGTACGACACACGCCAGACAGAAGACCTCCTCCATATGGGGACGCATAGCTAGGAGCCGAGCTTCAAGCATCAGAAGTACGAGATGTGAACCGTAGGCCGCATGCTGTCCAGGCGCAAGCTCGTTCTGGACCTCAGGCTGACGACAAACGAGTGGCTTGCCAACCCCGGCAATATATTTGTATTCGCTAAATCCCAAGACTAGCAGGAGGTCAGAGAATCGAAAACAACCTTCCGGCTTGCGGGGCCCCGACGTTGGACGTCTGTTCCAGTAGGGGGGACATCACCCGGCATGCGCGTTGGCACGCCCAGATCTGTTGCTAGGGCTGCGCTGTCGAAGGCTGCAGCTGCTGTTCGAAAACTCGGCCAGTCTGGGTCGATACCATTCATTATCCACTGCTGTACACGCACTCACAGACCCAATCCCCCGAACTGCTGGTCATTCACGGCAGCTAGTGGTGTGAAGCTACCGGTGTAGACCACTCCTGCTGTAGACCAGCGGTTGGGGGGGGTTGGGTCTGCGACGGCGCGTATAGCAGTCGATCGTGCGCGGCCCAGATTTTTGGACATTGCGGGCCTCAGCCGCAGCCTCGCCCTGGACGGCGCGGCCACAGCAACAGATCTGGGCGTGCCAACGCCCATGCCGCTGCCCCTTGATGTCCCCTCTGCTGAGTTCCTGTGTATTGCCCCATTCTGTCCTCGACTGTCTTCCCATGAACACATCCTAGGGTCTGAGAATTTGTTAAACGTCAAAAGCAGACGCCGTGTCGCCTGTTTGCCTTGAATTTGGAATACTGGAAGATTTTGCATTATTTTAGAAAGAAAATGTGATTGTTGTGCTCGTCGTCTCCGGCCAAAGGCTGACTACCCCGTCCCCCTAGCCAATGCTGGGTATCTACAGTCTACGGCAGCCAAATACCTTTGCGTGTCTTGCGAGTCACATGCGTCCTTTCTCGGCAAAGTGGGGGGCCCTGTTTTGTGCCGGTGTTTTCGGCGGGCACACACTGAATTTCCAAGTTATTCTCAATCCGGTACAATATAGTGCTGGTGAATTTTCTGGGCACACACCGGCACTAAACAGGGACCTCTACTTTACTGCAGTTGGACACCCCCATTTTCCGGGTGACTCAACGACGTCGTTGAGTTGCCCCGCTGCTGTTTACTCTAAGTCGCCTGAAAACCAGGAACGTGTGTTTTCCAAGGCCCAAGAACAGCTGGCATCGTGCCACACCCACCGTTAGCCTTGACCATCTAGATACATCTGAACACTTGCTCACTTGCCGGCTCCATTTTTGTGACGTTTCGTCTCCCCTTTTGTTCCGTTTTTCTGTTCCCAGACCCTTGCTGGTGCACATCAGGGGGTCGAAGGAATTTTTGTCGTATTTTAGAGCGCTGGAGCAGGTGAGAGTGGTCTTGAGGAAATGCCCGCCGTTGTTTTGAAGACACGGGGTTGCGTCGCTGCGTAAAGTGTAGTCGTCGTGTCCCCATTCGGCTCGCGTCCTTGATCACCGAGTGTTGAGGCATCTGGATCGCAATTTGTTCGATTCTTCATTTGGTGCTCCTGGGACACACGCTACTGTATATACGCAAACCCTTTTTCCGATCGTGCGTTGGAAGTCGGGTGAAAGATGGGATCTCGTTTGCGTTTTGCTTACCGTTGTTCCTTCCTCGTCGGCGTAGCAGCCATATTGTGAGGAGCGCGCGATTTCTGCGTTTCTGCTCCCCCGCCCTTCCCGTCTCTATGAGGGAACCCGCCCGTAGACCCTTCGTCGTACATGCTGCGATTTCTGATCCCTGGCCTGCCTGTTGATTGGAAACTCCTACCTTCGAACCTCCTCCTTGGTTATTTTGAAAACCAACAAAACAGAACGCAGCGTGGACGCAACAACGCATGATGGCCGTGTCTATCGTGTTGGACTATCACGACTCCATCGACGGACCCATCCCTTCTTTCCTTGGAGGGGGAGGCGGCGTGAACACGGTGGAGTGGCTTGACCTTGGGCGGAGCAACCTGACAGGAAGCATCCCGGAGAACCTGGGAACGCTGCCGAACCTTCGGTAGGGCGGATAGATCGATCGATCACGCTGTTTTTGAGCTTGAGCTTGAGGTTTGGTTTTGTTTGCCGAGAGATGTAAAAAATAAAATCTCGCTGGCGAGTAGCGGCGGTGATAGTTGTTGGGCGTTACCGCGTAACGAGGTTGAAAGTATGTTCTGGGTGCACTTGGATACGAGATCCGATCTGAGGGGTATGCGTGTGTTTGGGGTATGTGTGTGTTTGGGGTTCAAGTGCGGGATGCCTCGAGCGAGCACGCACGTATAGTTTATTATGTTGGTTGTGTTTGGTGTGTGCTGGAAGGAGCATGGGTACGTGTTAATAAAGCTTTATGTCATAAACATCGGTCCTGGGTTAGCCTAGTCCCCACACTCAACCCAAGTACCGCGGGAAGGCGGGGTGGCCTTTTCTCACTCCTGCCGAAAGTAAAGGCCTTTCGTATCCACGCACCATGTAGCGTTCCTTGATAGTACTTGCGGTGATGGTTCACATTTGACATTTTGTTTGATCTTTTTTTGTGTGTTTGGTTATTTTCCTGGCATGCAGGAAGTTGTATCTGGCAGGGAACCAGCTGGTTGGGCCCATACCCTCCAGCCTGGGCGACATCGCCACGCTGTCGGACCTCAGCCTAGCGGGAAACGAGTTGTCCGGAGCCATTCCCGATAGCTTCGGCAACCTGACGCTGCTGCGGTATCTCAGGTGCGTCTTTCTCTCTCTCTCTCTCTCTCTCTGCTCAACTGGTGCTCTCTGCTTCGTGTTTTGCTCCACGCAACACTGGTGCGGATAATCGTATTGATCTTTGCCCTGTGCTACCGGCTGTTTAGTGTTCACTCTCTGGAGCACATTCATCGGTTTTAGAATCGCACAGGGAGGGACCACAGACGCCCATTACCTATTTTTGCTCGTAGTAGTTGATCTTCGAACCTAATTTAGCAGCGGCCCGTTTTCCAAGACTGAGGAAGAAAAATATTTCGGCGTGCTTGGGCGCACCATTGCTGCCAGCGAAACCGCGGCTCTTCAATGCTTGATTGCGCACGAGGGGTGGTCAGGGTTTGTTGCGCGTCTTTAGCAGTGTTGAAAATAGTGGTTTCTGTATTAGGCCGGCGAAATCGCGTGACACGCGGATTGAACGTTCACGTTGTTTCAATACTCTTTGAATAGGGCAACTGGTGCCGTGATTTTAGTCGGAATACGGGAAATCTTTTTCGGGATTAGCGGTGGGAAATTGCACTCTGTCAGGGATACGCCTTGAGTCTTTTTTAAAGCAACACCTACATACTTTGCGGACGTTGGCTACATTATCCTTGGCGTTCTTCGTGCCCAAGCTGCATCTACTATTGTGCCGCCGAGAGATACCAAAGGGGATTCGGCGCGTTAGCATCTATCCCTCCGCCATGCCTTCCAGCGTTATCTTTGTGATATTTTTTGTGTCTGACGTTGTGTCTGCACGTTCCTGCGGTGTTGTCGATCTTGTGTTTTTTCCCCCCCGCAGTCTAAGAGACAACAAGCTAAGCGGTGCCATCCCGGAGTCTCTGGGGAACCTCGTCAACCTGGAGGAGCTCTGGTTGAACGCCAACCAGATCGAAGGTGCGAGTCATGAAAACAACAATTCATCATACAAATGTAGCCCCACTTGTCGGTGCAGCAGGCGAGGAATATCCCTCCCTTTACGGCAGTGGCGACAGCAACTACAGGAGATAATTGTAACCGCCATGGTGTTGACGCACCTACGGAGCCACCACACGGTTGTGGGTCTATCTACATCACGTGTTCTCAACTTGTTTTGCGGCATTTTCCGTTCTTGCGTTTGGTTTTGTATGTGATGCGGTGTTGGTTGATGCAGGCGCTATCCCGGCGTCTTTGGGCAACATGGCCACCGCGCGCAAGGTCTTCCTGAACAACAACTGCATCGAGGGAACACTGCCTGCCACGCTGGGCAACCTATCCAGTCTACGGGTGAGCTGGAAGCAAGCACGCTCAATAGAGGAGAATGTTATGCTGAGGGAGGGGTGGGACACCGGTTTGTAGGATACGGTAGTGGTCCCACTATTATGCTTACAGGTGCCAGCCGCTTTGAACCGGTATTGTAGCGGGCAACCGGCATTATTATTCAAAAGTATGGGACATCTTGAATATTCCATCTGCGTCACGCAATTTTACTGTACACGTACTGAATGCTGAAAACTAGGACGTATTGATTTTAACGCCGTAGTCAGCACGTCCCTCGGGGGTTCCGTCGCTATAGCCTCCGTCAACCCCCCCCCCCCCCCAACCCCCCAGAAAAAAATGTTGTTGTCCACTTGAAACCGACATGGTGTGTTGTCGCTTTCGCGGCAGATCTTAAGCTTGCGTCATAACCGCCTGACGGGAACGATTCCGCCCGAGCTTGGTCGACTGAGCCAGCTCAAGACTCTCTACATGGAGAAGAATGAGCTGGAGGGCAACATCCCCGACACCCTGGCGAACCTGGCCTCCCTCAAGGAGTTGAACCTGCTGGGCAACAAGTTCCAAGGTGTGGAAGGCAGCGGTAGTGGTAGAGGTGATATTTCGTGTTGCTGTTTTGGCGCGTGGGGTGTCGTCCTAGTTGTGACAATTGTTGTTGTGACATCGACAAACGTTGCGCTTAACACGCCATTTTTGTTTTCTTTCGGAAGGCTAAACACCGACTTGGTCCGTTGTGGTCAATGGAGGGTTTTGTCGAACGGTGTGTAACAGCTGGACAGACCGTCGAGCGTGGGCTGCGCGGTATAGTCGCTACAGTAGCAACTGTGGCAAAGGCGGTGCACGCAACTCTGGTTTTGCTTGCGGCCACTGGTTGGCGTGCTCCCTGCACTGCTGTTGGAGAGACGGGTGTGCCATGGGGGGAGGGTGGAAAGCTTGTCTGAAGTTTTCTGTCAAGTGGTGCCGCAACTTGAAATAGTTTATACCCCCTACTCGCACACAATGCTCCGTCCTCTGGAGGACGCGCGGTCAATCGGCCCAACCGCTAAGGCATGCAAAACATGAGAACGCTCTCCCCACACACACAATCCCTCCACCTATCACGCGCTCCCGTCGTCTTGCGTCTGCCTGACCTTGCGTCCTCAATCCCTCGCCTCTCGCTCGCTCGCCGCTTTTTTTTTTTTTTTTGGGGGGGGGGGCGGGGGTGTCGTTTCCCCTTCTTTTTTTCTTGCTGTCTTACCAGGCAAGGCGCAAACGCGTAACCTCCTTATTGGCCGCCTCCCGAACTGCGTCGTGTACGTGTGAGCGTGTAATCTTGTGGGGTTGTGGGTAGGTCTCCCTCCCCTCCCTCGCCGTGCCCCTGCTGACCACCAACCAAGGGCACTTGTGCCGTGGGGCTGAGGTAGGTAGGAAGTAAGGCGTGTGCGTGTGCTTGATGGGGGATGCCCATGTTTCTGCTTGCCTTGGGCGTTCGAACATTTTAAGAGCATCTCTCCGTGGGTAACGGAACGGGGGGAGAGGGAACGGGGGGGAGGGGTCCGTGGATGGTGTAGTACCAGACGACCCGAGCGCCACGCCGTTGGCGGTTGAGGTTGTGTTGCGTTTCTGCGGTCGTACTACGTCGTTTGTTGAGGCTTGTGTTTGGTCTGGGTTAGGAGAGGGTTCGGGAAGAAGGTCGTGTTGGTTTGTGCCGGAGCCGCATGCGTTCGTCAACGTCCAACCTGTCAGCCGAAGCGGTCTGAGGTCGTGTGGAGTTGTCTTGCGTTGTTGCGGCTTCGTACGGCGGCGATGGCGCCCACGTCGAGCATTGCTCCCCGACCCCCGGCGGCTGAGAGAACGCGTTAAAGACGCTGGGATCTGTTGGTTGTGCATTTACATGTATTTCGGAATCCTCCGACGAATAATGGTTTCGTTTCTCGTGACTTTGCAATCTGTTTGACAAACGAGAGACATTTTTTTCCTTGGGGGAGGACGGCTGAAACAGGTAGCTCGGCATTAAGGTACACTAGATTTGGCCACCCCGCACGCGCGGGTGTAGGTCGCAGCATGAAAAGAGAAAAGAAAAAGGCCGGCGCCGTTGTTTGTGCGCAGGTGGGTGTTTATTTTATGTTCTTTGTGTGGTGAAACACCTACCATAGCTCAGCGATTTGACGATAATTTTTGTCATGGCGTATGCCCGCGCACGTGCCAGACACTGGACCTTCGAAGGGTGGGTACTCTAAGTATGTGGTATTATGCGTACGTCTTGTCTTGTCCCATGTATGCATCGATGAGCCTGAGTTTGTGGCCGGGATAGTTTGTAGTTGTACGCGGTGAGGACAAGGCATTATTTTTTTCCTCCCTGCTCAAGGGCGCGCCGCATGTATCGTACTGGGGCTCGGGGATAGAGCATACCTTGCCGCAAAGCGCGTCAGCTCGGTACTTGATACAGCAGATACCGTGTGTACCCGAGGTTGACGCGTGTAACATTTTCAAGAGTCGTTGGAGCTGGCCGCCCTGTGGCGTGTACTACCTCGGCCCTTCCTGGAGAAGACGGTATGTGGGGGAGAACGTTTTTGTACCACCTTAGGCCAAAGTAGGAAGGAACGATTGACCATCGGTGATCAGTCCTGTGTGAACAATGCTCCGTCCGAGGATGCGTGGTCTAACCGCTAAAAGGCATGGGGGAAAAGTGAGTATGCCCCGCGGGGGGGGGGGGGGGGGCTTTCACTTTAACCCCTCCTCCCCCGGGAAGGGGGTTGGGGCCCCAAACCCTTTTTTATGAAAAGGGAAATGGGAGTCCTTTAAAAGGGTTTGGCCAAACCCCCCCGGTGAAGTGGGTTGGGGGGTTTCAGGGGGGGGCCCCCCCCCCCGGTTCCCGGCCCTTTTTTTTGTTTGGGGGGGGGGGCCCGGCCTGGGAGCTTTTCCTCCTCTTTTGCCCCTTATTGG